TTGATAGATCAGCTGTTATCCTTATGGGAATCCCTTTGTGTGTTATTTGTTGTTTCTCCCTTGCTGCTTTTAATATTTGTTCTTTGTGTTTGATCTTTGTTAATTTGATTAATATGTGTCTTGGGGTGTTTCACCTTGGGTTTATCCTGTGTGGGACTCTCTGGGTTTCTTGGATTTGGGTGACTATTTCCTTCCCCATTTTAGGGAAGTTTTCAACTATTATCTCCTCAAGTATTTTCTGATGGTCTTTCTTTTTGTCTTCTTCTCCTGGGACTCCTATGATTCAAATGTTGGGGCATTTAACATTGTCCCAGAGGTCTCTGAGGTTGTCCTCATTTAATTCTTTTTTCCTCTCTGATTCATTTATTTTGACCATTCTATCTTATACCTCACTTATCCTATCTTCTGCCTCTGTTATTTTACTGTTGATTCCCTCCAGAGTGTTTTTTTTATCTCATTTACTGCATTATTCATTATATATTGACTCTTTTTTATTTCTTCTAGATCCTTGTTAAACATTTCTTGCATCTTCTCGATCTTTGTCCCCAGGCTATTTATCTGTAACTCCATTTTGTTTTCAAGATTTTGGTTCATTTTCACTATCATTATCTGAATTCTTTTTCAGGTAGATTCCCTGTCTCTTCCTCTTTGTTTGGTTTGGTGGGCATTTATCCTGTTCCTTTAACTGCTGAGTATTTCTCTGCCTTTTAATCATGTTTATATTGCTGTGTTTGGGGGGCCTTACTGTCTCTTGAAAGTTTGTGGTTCTGCTTTATTTTGGAGGTTCCTCACTGTGGGTGGGGTTGGACGGGTCGCTTGTCATTGTTTCCTGATTAGGGAAGCTTGTTTCGGTGTTCTGGTGGGTGGAGTTGGATTTCTTCTCTCTGGAGTGCAATGAATTGTCCAGTAGTGAGTTTTGAGATGTCAGTGGGTTTGGTGTGACTTTGGTCAGCCTGTATATTGAAACTCAGGGCTATGTTCCTGTGTTGATGGAGAATTTACATGGTAAGTCTTGTTCTGGAACTTGTTGGGTCTTGGGTGGTGCTTGGTTTCAGTGTTGGTATGGAGGCTTTTGGATGAGCTCTTATCGATTAATGTTCCCTGGATTCAGGAGTTCTCTGGTGTTTTCAAATTCTGGACTTAAGCCTCTTGCATCTGGTTTTCAGGCTTATTCTTACAGTAGCCTCAAGACTTCTCCATCTATACAAGCACTGATGATAAACCATCTAGGTTAATGATGAAAAGTTTCTCCACAGTGAGGGCCACCTGGGGAGAGTCACAGAGTTGCGTGAAGAAGAGAAGAGGGAGGAGGGAGATAGAGGTGACCACGAGGAGAAGAGGGGAATCAAAAGGGGAGAGAGCAAGCTAGCCAGTAATCAATTCCCTATGTGCTCTCCAGTCTGGACTCCTCAGAGATGTTCACGGAGTTACACAGAGAAGAGAAGAGGGAGGAAGGAGACAGAGGTGACCAGGAGGAGAAAAGGGGGAATCAAAAGGAGAGAGA